GATTGCTCTGGCTTAGTAGACTTGATTGCAAATCCAATCGACTAGCAAGCTTTTGCTTCTGAGCTCGTCTCATTCCATCTCGTACTAGACGGTTTTTTGTGTTCAATATTTCCCATATACCTAGAGCGAGGAACTTGTGAGCGTGGCATCTTCCCATGTAGATTAGACCCATCCGGACCGAGCGAATTTTGGGAATGACTTAAACTCGACTACCACTTGATCTTCATTAGTGGGTGTTGATAAAAAAAAGATTATGCTTATTATGAAAATAAATGTTATGAAAATTAAATGTGATGACTTTCAAAGAGATTATATAAAATAAAAGGTCACACATAATAGAAATCGGTGGTTTCTGTTTTTAATAGATAAGATAAGTAGGATATGATATGTTGGGAAGATTTGGGATGTGATTTTGAACCGATGATCGTTGGCGATGGGATCTTCTTTTATTCTTTAATTTTTTTTTGCTCGTAAAGGTGTCATGGATGAAATATTCAGATATTTTCAGATGAACCTCATTTTTCTATTACAACTTTTATTTAGTTTAATCTCAGAGATGAACTTTTTCTTTGGACATTATCAGAATAAATGAAACATGGGCTTTTAATATGCTTTCGATACACCACATAAGATGATCAGTCATCGATTGAGTCTAGAGATAGTAAAATATTTTTTCAGGTCAAGGATAATTTTTACAAAAATGGAGACTTGGAAGATCATGTCATGGAGGCTATGAATATCCGATAAATAATTTCAACATTCCATGTTGAAGCGAAAGAATTGATATCCGTCATCTAGTGCATAAAGACCCTATAAATCTTAAATACTAATTAGTGAAAATTGTGTCTACAATTAAGGATTGACTGCCGGCTTTCACTATATATGGAGAAATTTAACAATGTAAGGAGTTCTTTATTAATTTTACAGTTTTTAATGATATATGTTAATTCTATAATACGGACAGTGTCATCTTAACCAATATAATTGTCCTGAGCAAAACAAAGAATATAAACTTTTTTATGAAGATTTTCTATATTGTTTTCACTACGTTTCTTTTGATTTGAACTATAAGACTTAAATAAATAGAAAAAATATATCAATTTTTTAAAAACCAAAAAAACAATCATATGAAAACATTTTTTTATATCGTTAGTTAATAATGGTAAAAATATCGATTTTTATTAATATGTAAATTAAGTTTACTTAATTATGATTTTTGTAATAATATAACAGATTTGAATAGATCCTATTAAACAACAACAACATAAATTATGGATCCAGGATTCACGGCAAATGTTCATGTTGCCATAGATAAGAGCCTGCACTGAATACTGATTAGGTGATCTGAATCGGGATTTTTTTTTACTTAGAGTAAACTTTTTTTTGTCAGAAAATGATATGGATACATAAATTTGATGGTAACCACGATACATGTATAGACAGATTGCTCTGGCTTAGAAGACTTGATTGCAAATCCAATCGACTAGCAAGCTTTAGCTTCTGAGCTCGTCTCATTCCATCTCGTACTAGGCGGTTTTTCAGTGTTTAATATTTCCCATATACCTAGAGCGAGGAACTTGTGAGCGTGGCATCCTCCCATGTAGATTAGACCTATCCGGACCGAGCGAATCTTGGGAATAACTTAAACTCGACTACCACTTGATCTTCATAAGTGGGTGTTGATAAAAAAAAAAGATTATGCTTATTATGAAAATAAATGATATGAAAATTAAATGTGATTACTTTCAAAGAGATTATATAAAATAAAAGGTCACACATAATAGAAATCGTGGTTTCTGTTTTTAATAGATAAGATAAGTAGTGATATGATATGTTGGGAAGAATTGGGATGTGATTTAGAACCAAAGATCGTTGGCGATGGGATCTTCTTTTATTCTTTAATTTTTTTTTTGCTCGTAAAGGTGTCATGGATGAAATATTCAGATATTTTCAGATGAACCTCATTTTTCTATTACAACTTTGATTTAGTTTAATCTCAGAGATGAACTTTTTCTTTGGACATTATCAGAATAAATGGAACATAGGCTTTTAATATGCTTTCGATAAACCACATAAGATGATCAGTCATCGATTGAGTCTAGAGACAGTAAAATATCTTTTCAGGTCAAGGATAATTTTACAAAAATGGAGACTTGGACGATCATGTCATGGAGGCTATGAATATCCGATAAAAAATGTCAACCTTCCGTGTTGAATGCGAAAGAATTGATATCCGTCATCTAGTGCATAAAGACCCTATAAATCTTAAATACTAATGAGTGAACATTGCGTCTACAGTTAAGGATTGACTGTCGGTTTCACTATATATGGAGAAATTTAACAATGTAAGGAGTTCTTTATTAATTTTACAGTTTTTAATGATATATGTTAATTCTATAATAGGGACAGTGTCATCTTAACCAATATAATTGCCTGAGAAAAACAAAGAATATAAACTTTTTTATGAAGATTTTCTATATTGTTTTCACTTCGTTTCTTTTAATTTGAACTATTAGACTTAAATAAATAGAAAAAAATATATCAATTCTTTGAAACCCAAAAAAAAACAATCAAATGAAAAAATTTTATATCGTTAGTTAATAATGGTAAAATATAGAATTTTTTAATAAGTAAATTAAGTTTACTTAATTATGAGTTTTTGATAATTTAATAGATTTGAATAGATCCTATAAAACAACAAGAAAAATTATGGATCCAGGATCCACGGCAAATGTTCATGTTGCCATCGATAAGAGCCCGCACTGAATACGGATTAGGTGATCTGAATCGGGACGTTTTTTAACTTAGAGTAAACTTTTTTTTTGTCAGAAAAAGATATGGATACATAAATTTGATGGTAACCACGATACATGTATAGACATATTGCTCCGGCTTAGTAGACTTGATTGCAAGTCCAATCGACTACCAAGCTTTTGCTTATGAGCTCGTCTCATTCCATCTCGTACTAGGCGGTTTTTTGGTGTTCAACATTTCCCATATACCTAGAGCGAGCAACTTGTGAGCGTGGCATCCTCCCATGTAGATTAGACACATTCTGACCGAGCGAATCTTTGGAATGACTTAAACTCCACTACCACTTGATCTTAAAAAGTGGGTGTTGATAAAAAAAAGATTATGCTTATTATGAAAATAAATGATCGATGACTGATCATCATATGATGACTTTCAAAGAGATTATATAAAATGAAAGGCTCACATAATAGAAGTCGTGTTTTCTGTTTTTAATAGATAAGAAATGTAGTGCTATGATATGTTGGGAAGATTTGGGATGTGATTTTGAATCGATGATCGTTGGCGATAGGATCTTCTTTTATTCTTTAATTTTGTTTTGGCTCGTAAAGGAGTCATGGATGAAATATGCAGATATTTTCAGATGAATCTAATTTTTCTATTACAACTTTGATTGAGTTTAATCTTAGAGATGGACCTTTTCTTTGGACATTATCAGAATAAATGAAACATGGGCTTTTAATATGCTTTCGATACACTACAGAAGATGATCAGTCATCGATTGAGTCTAGAGACAGTAAAATATCTTTTCTAGTCAAGGATAATTTTACAAAAATGGAGACTTGGAAGATCATGTCATGGAGGCTATGAATATCCGATAAAAAATGTCAACATTCCGTGTTGAATGCGAAAGCATTGATATCCGTCATGTAGTGCATAAAGACCCTATAAATCTTAAATACTAGTTAGTGAAAATTGTGTCTACATATAAGGATTGACTGCCTGCTTTCACTATATATAGAGAAATTTAACAATGTAAAGAGTTCTTTATTAATTTTACAGTTTTTAATGATATATGTTAATTCTATAATACAGACAGTGTCATCTTAACCAATATAATAGTCCTGAGAAAAACAAAGTATATAAACCTTTTTATGAAGATTTTCTATATTGTTTTCACTACGTTTCTTTTAATTTGAATTATAAGACTTAAATAAATAGAAAAAAATATATCAATTCTTTGAAAACCAAAAAAAATATCAAATGCAACAAAAATTAGATTTTTTTAATAAGTAAATTAAGTTTACTTAATTATCAGTTTTTTTGATAATTTAACAGATTTTGAATAGATCCTATAAAACAACAACAAAAATTATGGATCTAGGATCCATGGCAAATGTTCCTATTGCCATAGATAAGAGCCCGCACAGAGATGATCTGAATTGGGATCTTTTTTAACTTGAGTAAACTTTTTTTGTCAGAAAAAATATATGATACATAAATGTGATGGAATATCTTCTTTGTTTGTTAATAAGTTTGAGATAGAAACACATAAAAAACGTCTCCTTGAAATCAGCATCAAAGAAACAGCTTCCCATTCCGTCATTTCCTCTCCATCTCTCTTCCAATTTTTCCTAAGCCTTCTGATTTGTTCTCTTTTAAGCTTCTCCCTTTTATCCACACACACCGAAAACCAGAAAAGAAGAAAAGATTTTGAGAAACAATTGAAACCCTTCATTAAAATTCGATTTTGAGATTTTTCACTAATCATATTGCGCGTCTCTGGTTCTATGTTTTCTGCATGTCCTACTGGATTATAAAGTTGACTTCTGGATTTTTTTTCTTTATTGATTAAGTTTTAGCATTTATTTCCCCGAATCATTCGTGTGCTAGCTAGATTAGATATCATACACATAGTAACCAGTCGTTTTCTGAAGACTTATTTTTCCCTATTGTAGGGTTTGAATTTTCACCTGAAGTAAAAAAAAATTGTTGATTCATAAAAAATGAATTTAATAGCTTGTACGTGATCATTAATTTGGTGAAAAAAAACTTGGTATAAAAATATAAGCTGCTAATCAAAAGATTGTATTCAATAAGGCATGCGTGGTTTCATTCTGTTGACTATTAATCTTAGTAACTGTTTTTTTTATAATGTTGATGATGAAATATTAAAGCTTATAGTGAGAACCTTTGTTTTTCTGAAAATTCTGTGGTATGTGTTCAAATATTTGATTTGAATTCAAGACATGGAAAAGATATCAGGAGAAGGAGGTGTTGGGGAGAAAGACGGAATCTTTAGAGCAGATAAAATCGATTTGAAGAGTTTAGACAAACAGCTTGAAAAACATCTGACTAGGGTTTGGTCAAGAAACCTTGAGATCAACAATAAAGCTGAGGAAGAGTGGGAGATTAATATGGCTAAGTTGGAAACAAGGAACGTTATTGCTCGTGGTACTTTTGGTACGGTCTATAAAGGCATCTATGATGGTGAAAATGTTGCAGGTAAATTCCAAAACATTAACATGGTCTTCTGCTAGATTATGACTTTGTTTGGTGCTTGTTTGAGTAATGGCAGTGAAAGTGCTTGATTGGGAAGAAGCTGGAAAAGAAAGCACAACAACTCGGGCTTTATTTCGTCAAGAGGTGACTGTTTGGCACAAACTCGACCACCCAAATGTCACAAAGGTTAGTCAAATAAATTTGTTAAGGCCACACACGATTTAGAAAAATGTATGAATTTGTTTTCATAATTGAATGAAAACAGTTTGTTGGAGCATCAATGGGAACAACAAATCTTAAAATACCTTCAGCTGATTCAGAAAACCCTTTGCCTCATCGAGCTTGTTGCGTGGTTGTCGAATATGTTCCTGGTGGAACATTGAAACAGTACTTGATACGTAACAGACGCAAGAAACTCGCTTTTAAAGCTGTTATCAAACTCGCTCTCGATCTCTCCCGAGGGTAATCCATCAATCTTTTTATACTACTACTCTTTTGAGATTTTGGTATGATAAAGAGAAGGCAACAGACGTGTTCTTGTTGCAGGCTAAGTTATTTACATTCAGAAAAGATTGTGCATCGTGATGTGAAAACAGAAAATATGCTTTTGGATGTTCAAAGGAATTTGAAAATAGCGGATTTTGGAGTAGCGCGAGTGGAAGCTCTGAATCCAAAGGACATGACTGGAGAAACTGGCACTCTTGGATATATGGCTCCTGAGGTAAGGACTTAGACCTTTATATCCTTCTTTGTAAATACCTAATACAATAAATCTCGTGTTTCTTCACAAGGTTATCGATGGTAAGGCATACAACAGAAGCTGCGACATTTACAGCTTTGGGATATGCTTGTGGGAAATCTACTGTTGTGATATGCCTTATCCTGATCTTAGCTTTGTCGATGTTTCTTCAGCGGTTGTCTTACATGTAAGTTTTAAGCTAGAAAAACCCTTTCTAGCTTACTTGTTACTTATGTAAGGTTCTATTACCTTATAACTCGTTTTGTAACAGAATCTGAGACCGGAGATACCGAGATGCTGCCCGACCGCATTGGCGAGTATAATGAAAAAATGTTGGGATGGCAATCCGCAGAGACGACCAGAGATGGAAGAAGTCGTGAAGATGCTTGAAGTAATTGATACCACTAAAGGGGGCGGAATGATACCGGAAGATCAGAGTCCCGGCGGCTGTTTCTGCTTCGCTCCAGCTCGAGGCCCTTAAAGCTCCCTGTATTTTTCTTTTCTGTTTCTACTCCAAAAAACATCTTTTTGCTATATTCCAAGTTAGAAATCCCTCTATATTTTTCTTATTTGTGATTAGGGGTGTCAATTGGTTTAGCTTAACCCTGCCAAAACCTACTGCTATTTAAGTCATCCCGCGAATTTTTTTGAGTATATATTTCAAAGTTCAAAATGGCTAAATGATTTTTTGGGCTTTTTAAAAAGATTTATATTGACTACATTAAATTTAAAACCAAAATTTGTAAATTCTAAATTTAATTAACCATCTTTATGATTATAAATTGTGAAATTCTCCAAAATAAAAACTTTTTATTTTTCGTCTCAAAAATAGCATCTCAAATTGAAGTTTTATATTTGAATTTTCAAGGTTTAAGGTTCTAGAATTGATGTTTCAGGACTTATAGTTGAAGTTTCTGGGTTTAGGGTTTATAGTTAAAGTTTCAAGAGTTTGGGTTTTAGAACAGATGTTTCAGGGTTTATAGTTCTAGAATTGATGTTTTAGGGTTTAGAGTGGAAGTTTCAGGGTTTAAGGTTTAGTGTTGAAGTTTCAGGGTTTAGGGTGTTAGAGTTGATATTTCAGGGTTAGGGTTTAGATTTGATGTTTCAGGGTTTAGGGTCTAAAGTTGAAGTTTCAGGTATTAGGGTTCTAGAACTGATATTTCAGGGCTCAAAGTTGAAGTTTGTGTTTTAAAGTTGGATTTTTAGGGTTTAAGCCTTAGAGTTGAAGTTTTAGGATTTAGGGTTTTAGAGTTGATGTTTCAGGGTTTAATGTTGAAGTTTCAGGTTTACGATTTAGGGTGTAGGGTTTCAAGGTTTAGGGTTTAGAGGTAAAACATCAGGGTTTAGGGTTTTAGAGTTGATGTTTCATGAATTAGGGTTTAGATTTGAAGTTTCAGGGTTTAAGGTTTTAGAGTGGATTTTTCAGTGTTTAGAGTTGAAGGTTTAGGATTTAAGGTTTTAGAGTTGATGTTTCAGAGTTTAAGGTTTAGAGTTGATCTTTCAGGGTTTATGGTTCAGAGTTGATGTTTCAGGGTTTAGGGTTTAGAGTTGAAGTTTCAGGGTTAGGGTTTAGAGTTGAAGTTTCAGGGTTTAGGTTGTAGAGTAAAAGTAGGTTTGGAGTTAAAGTTTCAGGGTTTAAGATTTTATGTTTCAGTGTTTAGGGTTTAGAGTTGAAATTTCAGGGTTAGAGTTTAGAGTTGAAGTTTTAGGATTTAGAGTTAATATTTCAGGGTTTAAGGTTTAGAGTTAAAGTTTCAGAGCTTAGGGTTAAATTTGATGTCTGAAGGTTTCGATTTTACAATTGAAGTTTTCAGACTTAGAGTTGAATTTTAGAGTTTAGAGTTTAAAGTTGATTGTTTAGGATTTAAGGTTTAGAGTTGAAATTTCAAGATTTAGGATTTAGAGTTGATTGTTTAGGATTTAGGTTAATCATAAGTTTTGTTTGTTAAAGTTAATCAAAAGATTATAAATGAAAAAGATAGAAAGGTAATTAGTCAATTTAAATAAAACATTTTAGTGATTTTGGATTTGGAAGTCTAGATTGGGAAAGAAAAGTTGGTTTAGGTCTATGTAAGTTATTTTCTCTTTCCAAAATTTAACCTTAAACTATATAAATACTACATATGTTGGAAAATCCTAAAACCAAAGAATATCATTACCAACTACTTTCTCTTATCTATATTAAAAGTCATTCAATTTTATTATATCTTAATTTACATAACTTAAAAATGTTTATAATTACATGATATTAATTTTTCACTTCTAAAAATATATTTTTAAAAATTTTTAAATTATGTTTAAGATCAACTTCTTTAGAACACTAACTTGAAAGTCATCTAGACGACTAACTTGAAAGCTAGATGACTAACTTGGAAGTCGTGTAGATGACTTCTAGCATCTCAGACGATTCAGATGACTTATTGGGGTTATATTCGAAAAAATGGCTTCTGTTTTTTGTTTGGTCACAAAGGGGTAACTATAATTCCACAAGGATTTTAGGTTAGTTTTGCATTTGATTCAACCTTGTGTATAGATTTGCATTTAAAATCATGTTTTGAATTATATTTGAAAAATTCCCCTAAAATAAATTTGTATTTTATTTATAAATTTTCTTTTTAATATAAATACGAAGATAAAAAATTAAATAATATTATCATAACCAAAATTTTTTTTTATTAAATTACATTTTGTTCATGTGGAATCTAGTTTATATTCATACTACAGTTAAGTAGCTCTAGCCTCTAGCTCTAGGTGACCTTGAGGGAGACTTGATCCTACTGTTATTGGTTCCTGTTATAAAAAGGAAACTCTATTAATATCCTACTGGCAGTGTAAATGGTTATTAAGCAGCCCATGTACTTCACAATTATTTGCGACCCAGCAACTACAAGTACCTTGCAAATGTGTGGACTGTGGAAAGTAGGAAAACCAAAAAAAAGAACGATCGTAAAGTGTCTACTTTGAAAATCAACGTACGAAAACCTCTCAGTCTATGTTGTCCATTAACAAGAAATCAATGAAACTTTGAAGAGCGCTTGAAGACACAAATCTAATTCAAGAAAGCAAACATAAAAAAAAACTAATTCTATGATATCTATAGAAGGAACTAATTTCTAAAGCTTGGTTTGAAAAAACAGAAGAGAGTACTAATCAACTTATGAGGATCTCACTTTCAATCTGCCTGGGACAAAGCTCGCACGGGTACACTGTTTTAACCGAGCAATGGCATCTTGCGGCCTATTAGACATGATATCGACGTAGACCGCTGTAAATGTAGTTTGTACATTATTCGGCCAGACAGCTAACACGTGTGTGATGAAAGGTTTGGCCTGGTCATATTGTCCTTTTGTTGGAAACAGAGCGGCAAGGTTTGCAAAAAGTGCTCCACGAGCTTCTTCTGGCTTATGTGAATCCCGGGCATTTCATCACAGTTAGAGGTCATGTTTATCTGCCATGGGTAAAAGTCTTCTTGCACAAATGTCATTTTTAAATCTTCATGTTCAAGTAGATATGTAGATAAATGCACACCAGCTTGAACAGGCCTGTTGAGCAAGCAAAGAGCCTCGGCTGCGTAAATATGGCCTAAGAAATCATAAATCTTTGAACAATCTGGAAGTTCCAACAGTGAGTTAGCAGCTAACAAGGCTCTGATAGGATTCTCCAATTCCCGTTCCGATTCTACGTACGCCATATTGGCAAGAAGAGCCTGTTTGATCAAATGATTCTTTTTACTAAAGATATTCTTATAAGTAGAGAGGGAGTTTTGAATTATGTCCTGGTTCTTTCCACCTATTTCCTCTTTCAACTCTGAGTTCTTATTAGCTTCACCATGATCAGACGATGATGCTTTTTTTGTCTCATTAGTGAAGGATGATGTCGATTCATGGTCTGACTTAGAGAGAGAACCACTGAGCTGATACATAGCGTTCGAGAGACAAACCTGTGCTAGTGATAATGAGAGCTTTGGCCATTGGGCATTGCAAGAAAGTTCTATAAATCCATTCTCTTTCATCATAAGTTGTCTCCACTTCCCTTTCCCAACTACATGGACTCTGACTTCCGGTCTATCCAAAGAAGTGTTTCTCTCTTCCAAAAGACCCTTTTGTAAAGCCATTATACATCATTCAGCTATACGAAGCCAAAGGAGTGGTTGTCTGCAGAAAACCATGTTTAACTTCTGGAAGCATTGTACAGCAAGTAGAGGCTTTCCACAAGATAAATAAAGCACACCCGAGTTGTATGTGATCAACAAAGACTTATCCTTTGAGTGAGAAAACAACTTAACGGATTTTCCTTCCTTAGTGACGAACGGCTCCTTGAAGCTTTCGAAAATAACATAAAGGCGGCTTGATATTTTCCAAGCTGATAGTATATGTAACAAAGGTTGTTGTTGAAGATTCCTGAAGTCCTTGATTCTTTTTAGATACCAGATGCCAACAAAAGCTTTATAGCCTTCATATGATTCCCATGAGCGTAATCAAGCTGACATTTCAAGAGGAGAGCCATAGAGGAGTCCCTTTTTGAGTAATATTCATCGCATGTTTAATTACACTCTTCTCCAGTTTTAAATTTCTTGTAAGAAGAAAAACCCAGACCCTTTAAAGCTGCAACTAAACCGATCAATAGTAATCATCGACCTTTCACCTAATGTCTTGAGAAGATTGTTTGCTGGAATATGGCCAGCTAGCTTCATTCGTTTCTCAGCCTCAGTTTCCGCTAGATCATTGTCATAGTCTAGAGGTTCCTCACGCAAAACACTTTCAGCAGCTGTTAAGTCTGTCTTCAAACCATCTGAGGCCACAAAGCTGCTCAGGAGAGATGTTTTCGTTACCTGATTTGAAGAAAATTGAATCGTGCTTCCGAATTCCTCATGACTTACAAAATGAACACCAAAAGCTTTGATCATATGGTCAACACATCCTGTACAAAACTAGATGTGAGATAAAAAATGGAACATAATGTATTCAATCCAAAGATTATATGAGGGACGAAACAGTAGATCATTCATGAAGTCGAGTTCTTAGTTTCAAACCAAAAGTTAAAACCTTCTTCATCAGATTATAGTTATGTACAACTTGTTTTCACCAAATCATTTGTACTGTAGTATACACATTTGGAAACAGAAAGATTTCCCATCTCTCATGAAATTCCACAATAGGCATGTTGTAGATATCATATTTGTTCTTAGTGACAGGTAGACACTCTTCCTAAGAGAAAATAACCAACATTCCACTGAAAAGTAAGGAATCTGTAGATCCTAAAATCCATACAAAGTATTTTGTAGTGATCAAGGATTAAATATAGGGAAGAAAAATGATTTGGGAAACGATGCTCTTACAACACAACAATACAATCAGAATTCGGTTGACAAAAATGGACATTGTTGATATTAGGTTTGATACAAAGCGATAATCGAGATCGAGAATAACAATGAGAAATCAAAACTATAAACAAAATAAAGACTAAGAAATTAGGGCGATG